CCTTGCCAAGATTCTCTCTGCAGCAATGGCTATTAAGCACGGAGAAGGACATAGGTGGAACTTTCTAAGCTCCATGGCAACTGCAAAGTATTAGTGAACTGGCAGTTTTTTCTAGAACCTTATGAACAGAGACTACTGTTCCCTGATGCTCTTAGAAATCTTCATCCATGTTCCTCTCTATGCTTAATGGCTGTTCCTGAAGAGAGAACCTCAGCAAGAACAGGCGTGTGTCCTGAAACTCCTCTGAGAACTTTGGTTTTTGTGTTGAATGAATGAATTTATTACGGTCAGGTGACCAGCTCATAAAACATTACATGACTAAAATATACAAAATGCAATTTAAAAAGTGCACAACAGATAATTGTATACTAGTTATAATATATGGCAAGAATTAGTTACAGTGTTTTTATAGCTATCCTTTGAACCATTGGATCATCTAGCATTTTTGTGTTTGTTGGGGAGCTAAAACTAACATAATTCTAGCTAGGGAAATTGTGAAAAGATCTAAAAGCCCTATGCCTAGTAAAGATCTGAGGAATATAGCATATCTTTGTGCCCTGCACCAACAGCCCTAATGTATCATTCCCAATTCAATCCATCTTAGTAGAGGCTAGCTAGCAGCAATCCAAAGTTGAAACAACTTCATGCTCTCATAATGCAATGATGCACCCAAGTGCATTACTTTATTGCCTCCTGTAATTGAACTGCACCAAGAGAAACTCTCACCAGGAAAAAAAATGACTATAATGTATTCAAGCGCAGGTATCACATGGTTATAACCATGTGATACCTGCGCTTGAATACATTATAGTCCCTGCCAGGGCCTTCATCATTATAGACCCCTGCCAGGGCCTTCATCACACTACAATATGAAGATGATGGAACTGCCTGTTACAAGCACCATGTTTTCATTATGTATGGGATTTTTGGAATTTGTACACTATAGCTCCCAGAAGTCTGCAGGAATTCCTCAGTCAGACTTCTGGGAGCCTTACTCAAGAAATTAAAGTCCTGGTGGTTTTGTTAAGTTCGTAAGCCAATGAATTCAGACTCCCACAGCCATTTTCATCCTGTAGAGAAGACACAGAAATGGATGGGTGGGGCCAAGCTCTGTGAGAGCTACAAGGGATTATGGGCCTGATAGGTTGGGGTTTTCTGAGAGACTTCCTGGCAGAGCCAACTACATTCATAATCAGGGCTTGAAAAGTCCAGTCGTCCACTAGTCTGTGACGAGTGAAAAAACGCTGCTTGATGAACCCACAGCTCCCGCTCTCCTTGCCTTCTTACCCTTAGTCCTTGTGTGTGTGTCTCTCTCTGACCCTGCAGCCCAGTCCTCCCCTTTCCCAATGCAAAAGGAAAAAACAGCCCTCTTATCGCAAGAAGAGAGTTCAAGCGGCACATAGATATATAGCTCTGCAGGATAATGTAGAATAGTCCCATGCTGGAGATTATGGAGATTCCCTGCTCCCAATTTCAACCAACCAACCTGGCTCCTTAAGAGGCCAGGCGCTTTTGCTTTCAGTTTTATTTTTGCTGGAGACATTAAAAAGAAAGGCATTCAAAATACAAGCTTTATAAACCCACAGGCATGCAGGTAATAAAGCAACCCAAGTCAGAGGGTATATTTATTTTGGGTTTGTACACATTGTTATGTAGAAAGTGCCTAGTTTAAATTTAAATTTAAGTTTAAACATAAATTGCAAAGCTATAGTCTGGTCATGCTGACTGGTGAAATTTTTGACTGACTGGTGAGACATTCTAAAATTTTTCAAGCCCTGTTCATAATCCAATCTTGCATGTTTTTTTCAGGACTTTCATCTCTTGATTAAATATCCAAGAACTCTGGCTGGTGGGATTCCTGTGGATCTCTGCAGGCCATGAACTTCCAAAATCCTATGCCTGGTTTTCATCCCATCACAATTTTAAATTGACTGTTTAGCAAGAACAAAAGACCAAAGCAGGAGACGCAAGATCTGGTTCTCATTAATGGGGTTACTAGAGTCAGCTTTGGTGCAACTGTATTGCACAACGGAATTACCTATTATAAATTCTGCTTATTACTAGAAATTACAAGAACATCTCTTCTGCATGTAGTCAAATAGTGTGTGGTAAGAGCTTACAGGTACAAACAGAGCAGAAAGGGAAACCACTGGGCGCATGGCTAAATATGGTCCAAGTTATGTTTTGCTATTAGCCGGGCCATTTTATCTAGCATTAGATCCTGACTTGCTTCCAAATAAATTAGTTTGTTCCAGATAGTGAACAACATGGTCAATAAACAAGAATAGAGTTGACACACTTCAGATCTTTTTTCTTCAACAGAAGTTTTTGTTGCTTGTAACTGTTGCCCAACTGTTCACCTAATGAACAGCATTTCATTTCAATGATTCGCATCATGCATAGCCTACTTCCTCATCGTCCATTTCTCCTTCATTTTGCCTAGAGCAGGGGTCTCCAAAGTACAGCCCGCCTGGCCTTTTTATCTGGCCCATCCATCCGTGCTATGGCCCTCAAAAATATCCCAAATATTGTGGCTCTCCGTGTGAAAGGTTTGGAGACCCTGGCCTAGAACATAGAGTTCCTTAGGCTTTTTGAGCTTCAGCCTTTTTTTGATCCTCACTCTATTCCTACAGTTGTGTAAAAGCATGCTGTGTTCTGCAGGGAAGAGCATGCTAACTTCACACACATAGCTGTCACTTTTATCTCCTACACTTGGAGACCAATGAGTCTGAAACAGAATCTCTGCAACCCATGGAGGCTCTCCACATATCAGAACCTTGGAAAACTCACAGAGGATTTCCACTTTAGACTGTCACCATCCATATGCAGGAGGGCTACAGAACGGGGAACATGGGGTGGCAATAGTAAAATAGTAAATTGTCCCTCCTCATGCAATACACTTTTAGTGATTGAACAGAGCTTCTTTTAGCTTCCCAATAGATGTATTTGGAGCCTTACACAATGCTGCATGGATGCAGCTGTTGTTGGTAGGATTACAACAACACTAACACAAGAGGAGGATATTCCTGGGCCTTCCTAAAAGTACACAGAGAAAAATGTAATTAAAACTGACAGGATGAAATTTTGAAACCTGGCTGGGACAACAAAAGAAGTGGGTGACAAAACATTCCACCCAGTCCAATATTGGGACATTCAAAACGGTGTCTTGGCTATTTGTGAGAAGAAAACTCCACTCGTCTTTTTGAAAAATTCACATACTGCTTCAAATTTTTCTCCACAGCTCTTCTATATCCAAAGGAGGCCACTCTCAAATTGGAACAAAGTTTACTTCTCTAAAAAAGCTGCTCTCCAAGATGGAGAGCTCTTAATAACTGAGGTTAGCAGTAATCACCATTCCTAGGAAGGAGGGAAATATACATTTTAAGTCCCCCAAAAATGGTATGCAGCATACACAAAAAAGATAAAGAAATAACCCCTAAGTGTCAATGACAAATGCTTGTACCACAACCGCAACTGACAAAATGGACATTTTTTACAGATTTAAGATGTCATTTATCTGCAAGCTTTCTGCTCATCCCTAGACACTGCTGAAAGGCTTACAAGACTAGCTTATTAATATCTTAGCTAGAGCAACAAATTAATTTGAAGGTAAGGGAAAATACACATGCCCCAGAACTCAACTCTTACAACTCACCCTACACATATTCTGTTTTATTTTATGCGAGTAGGTTATTGCCAATGAAAAGGCTTCTACTCATTATCCATGTAGTATGCAGTCTTATGAACTTTTTCTTGTCTTTAAAGCTGAAAATGGAACTCTTGCCAGGTATAGTTTCACCTTTACAGTATTATGTCTGTATTAGTGGTACCTCTCCCCACTATGGGAATTCAGCTGCTCCCCATTACTCTTGCTATTGAAACTCATGTTCTGTCTTCTTCTCATACTTCTTGTTGTTCAGGGCAGTCAAGCTGTGACTGACTTGTAGCAATCCTAATAGGTTTTTCAAGGTAAATGAAATGTTTAAGGAGTGGTTTTCCCAGTTCCACCCCCCCCAGTGAATTTCCATGGCCAAGTGAGGATTCAAATCCTGTTCTCCAGAGTCCTACTCTATCACTTTATGCACGCCACACTGGAAATCACACTCACACTTACTCAACTTTTAAACCAGGCCTGACAACTAACTAATCTGCTACAACTAGAAATGCTTTTACAAAAATCGATTACAGCCTTCTAATCCAGGTCACAAAAATGTAATTTCCAAGAAACTATGTGCACTTCATAGCTTCCAAACCTGCATAGCTATTTTCCCCTGGTCTCACTTCCCTTTATGTCCTAGGCTTTTTTAGCTTTGTCCTCCACTGTGTACCCCGAAAGACAGTCACCTTGAGGCTATACCTATCCTAAATATCACTTCAATCAGGCACAACCTGGACAAGCAATTATTTTTTCTCTCAGCACACTAGCTTTGTAATTCCAGATACAAAATTTCTCCATCTTGAAATGTCCATCTCTCTAGTACTTTTAACTGCCCCGAACACTGGCCTCTCAGGTACCCTTTAGGTAGCTCTTGGTTCTGGGGTCAGGAAGAGAGCAATGATGCTGCAGCCCAAATTTATCTGGAAATATCGCTTTCTTGATCTCTTTCATGATACCCACAAGGTAGTGGCCTAAATCCTTCCTAGTTACTCGGTAGTGAAGAAAGCAACGCTCTGCACGTGCTCAGGGACACTCTTCTTAGATCCTCCTCTTTGATTCTAAAGGGCCAAAAACGTTCAGGGGCCGTTTATCTAAGAAGCTTTCCTTAAATTCCAACGCAAGACCCAAGGTGTGTATGCGTGTCCGAGAAAGAGCACTAAAAAAAACCACAAGCCCACTTGCTTTAAGGAGGCCGGGGTGGGGTGAGGTGGGGCGGCGGCGGCAAAAATCAATTACGACACATATACTACCTCCGGACTCCCACTCCCCATCTATTACCCAAATTAATTTCGACGGTTTCGGGCCCAAAAACAGCTCAACCTGCCCTGCCTCACGAACTCACATGGCGAACGGTATTAGCTGGGGCTATTCCGGCTCGTCCTCTCTTCCTTCTTCCCGTCTCTCCGGGGGGGGGGGGCTCCGAGAAATCTGAGGCGACACAGAAGGTCTCTTGCCAAGGGCGAGGAACAGGCGGCAGCGGCGGCGACAGTCCCTTCTCAGGGGCTCGGAGGCTGAGGCCTGCTACCCACAAAGCACCACGCGCGCGCGCTCTCTCGCTCGCTCGCTCCTTCTCCAGTAACGGCGGCTTCCAGGCGGCTGGTGACGCAGCAAAATGCCCACCCCTCCCTTCTTTCACTGGGTTCTCTCTAGCCAGAAGCTGGAAAGAACGCATGCGCACTACTCACCACCACCCTTACCGCCTCGCCGTCCTCAACGGCACACATACCAAAAGCAGCCAGATGTCTTCCTGGCGCGCAAGCGCATCTTTCTTTCTTTCTCTCTCCCTCCCTCTATTCGCACTGCGCACGCGTAATACCATCCTTCGCGCAAGTTCTATCCTTCTCGAAAGCTTTTCTATTCTTTCCGCTCCTCCTCCACCCGATACCTTCGCCCACACAGCAGCGCATGCGTACCACCATCTTTCGCGCATGTTCTCGCTCTGTCTGGGGTTTTTTAACCGTCCGAGCCCCCTCAGACGCATGCGCAGTAATGGCAGCCGAGCTTTCAGGTAGGATGGTTGTTGTGGGTTTTGCGGGCTCTTTGGCCGTGATACGGCCAAAAACGCCCGAAAAACTCACAACAACTATTAGATTACGGCCGTGAAAGCCATCGCGAAGACATTTCAGGTAGTAGCTCGCTGCTTTTGTCCCTTCCCAGGGTTTCGTTTTTGAGGTGTTTCTGGACATTCAGCCTCGCAAAGCAGTTGACTGTATATTATCGTGATGTAAGCCTCTTTGGACAGAAGGAAGATTATTTCCGAGTAGGCATTTACAGGATCGGGAGGCCCATCACATAATTTCTGGCGCCTTCAAGACTAACGAGTATTATTTATTGTACATTAACCTTCATATCAAAAAGAGCGCAAAACCATCAAGACGTCAGCAAAAGAATAATTACAGCCTGATAATTACGTATTCTACTGCACCTCTGAAGCCTTCGTCTAAACACGCACCAAACAAACTCGTATATCACAGCTGGAAATAGAGATGTCCCTGTTGTAATTTAAACCAGAAATCCCATCAGATTTGAAGAAAGAAACATACATCCCGGAATATTTATTAATTTGTTTTTATCCCGCTTTTCTTAAAGGACCCAAGGTGATTTCCAACATTAAAAGACTAAAGCCAACGACAGTGAGATTATAATATTGAAAGAATCAAACAAATGCCACATGAAAAAAGTAACCAAAATAAACATCAAAACATTCCAAGCAGTGAAGAAAAACAATCTTATTAGAAAACTCCACTGGGGTAGTTAGCAATTAAAGGAAAGGAGGTTTGAAGAGAAAGGTCTCCCCCTGCTTAGGGAAGGACAGCAAAGCCTGTGGGAGGGAGTTCCAAAGTCTGGGAGCAGCAACAGAGAAGACACTCTCCTGTGTCCCCATCCGACTGACTGTGAAGGTGACGGGGTTAGGAGAAAGGCCTCTGCTCATTATTTTAACAGCTGGGCAGGCTCATAAAGGGAGAGGTGGTCCTTGAGACAGCTTGGGCCCAAGCGGTTCAGGGCTCTAGATTAAAACTAGAACTGTAAATTATGCTCACAGATAGGCAGCCAGTGGAACTGCTGTAACGAGGGGGTTTTCTGACCAGCCCATTAGCAATCTGGTCGCCACAGTTTGGACCTGCTAAAGTTTCCTTACATTTTATAGAAATAGCCTAATGTAGAGCCTGTTACAGTTATCTAGCTGGCATATGACTAAGGCATGTATCACCCTGGCCAGATCAGACCTCTCCAGGAACAGGGACAGCTGGTGTACTAATTTTATCTGTGCAAAGGCACTCCTGGCCACACTGAAACCTGGGCTTCCAGGCTCAGAAACAAATCCAGGAGCACCCCCATTTTGCACATCTATTTTTCCAGAGGGAGTGTAACCCCATCCAGCACAGGCTGGATCCCTATTTCCTGATTTGCCTTGACTGACCAGGAACAGCTCTATTTTGTCTGGATTAAATTTCAGTTTATTCAATCTGATTCAGTCCACTACTAACACCAGTCACTGATCTGAAGCTGAAACGACTTCCTTGGATTTAGATGGAAAGGTAAGATAGCATTTGGTTTCATCCACACACTGGTGACACTGAACCCCAAAACTCGAGGCAATCCCAGTGGTTTCATGTAGATGTTATATAGCAGGGGTCTCCAAAGTATGGTCCACAGGACACATCTGGCCTTTTTATCTGGGTCGTCCGTGTGTGCGGGTGCGAGTGCAGGTGTGCTGGCTGGAGTGTGCACGTACATGCATGCTCCTTTGGCCTTCAAAAATATTGCAAATATATTATGTGGTCCTCCATGTGAAAAGTTTGGAGACCCTTGTTATATAGCATAGGCTGCAAAAACGGAAATGTATCCATTAGCACAGGACAAGCAGGCCCTGTAGTTGCATCCACAGGACTTGTATCAACTGCAGCATCCAAGTCCGAGTGGATCCAAGCGATTTTTGCTTGCAAAGTATAGTGCAAATACTTCACAGTGAGCTACAGTGCAGCTGCATTCTCTTTCTGCAGGCCTGCATATAAAAGGCCCTTGACCATTCTAAAGAACTCTGCTGGATGAATCTGTGCAGACGCAATGGTGGCAGAGAATAATTACAGTACTTCTTTGTGGCTGCCAGTGCCACAGAATAGGAGCAAACACATACACTAAAAATGGTAAATGAAAGGACATCAAAACACTTGCGTTGCTGAGCATACAATAAAAATGCTCAAAGGCTGTGGCTCTGAATTAGCAGTTTCTCATGCCTAACTTGTTCCTGCGTTGGAGACTTCAATACGGAATTCCTTGCTTCTTGTTGCTACTTGCTTATATATTATTTTCATTGATGATGGGTGGATTCAAGCCAGTGACTGCCTGAGTGGATTTCTTGCTGCCTTAACAGGCAGCCACGGCCACTTATGAGGGTATAACTGTATTCAGCATGTCTTAAGGAGAAACGGCAATAGTACCCCCAGCACAACCTTTGTCTGAAAGGCACCGGAAATAAAATATGGTGAGTGTAAAGAATATGATTGGATTGTGTGCCCATTTTACCAGTAATTGTCCCGTTAGCAGCACCCCACACTCAAGGAAAGTTGTTGTTTTATGAAAAATTAGTATAACAAGAAGCTGTGCCATTCGTAATGGAGCAGTGATAGGATTATGCTCTGGGCTTTAGCATGTCAATATGCATTCTTCTTCCAAGCAATTTCTCACACTCTTCTTTTAACCAGTCTTGGAACACAACAGTGGCTTCTACCACTGGCACTGCCAAGTATTGGGTGTATGTGGGGGCTTACCAACAAATTCTGGTAACCTAGACTGCTCCCCACACTTGGAGGCAATGTTCCTCAACACTTCCCACTGACTATAAGTACATCAACAGTGTGATCTAAAAATATCTCCTCACTGCAATGAGTTGGTCTCAGGCCTGTGGGCATAGCATTCAGGCACGATCCAAAGACATTTTGCTGCGTCAAGATGGATGAGGCAGTTCTCCATCACTTGGAACCCCCCCCCCGAAGACACTGGAATTGCACTGGCAGTTGAACCTTGCTTCATCATGGATGATCGCTATACCTGAGGAAAACAAGCTAGCAGGCTGCCTTGAAGGCACAGCCATGTCCTCCAGCAAAGCAGACAGCAGAGATGGCTCTTCATATTTTCTCTGTAGCACCTAAGCTCTGCTGCCTGAGGTGACTGGCTCTTTCAGCCTCGTGGTAGAGCCCATTCTGCAAGTCTGTAGCCTAAGTGGTATAAAATAAAAGAAGCAGTGAGAAATATTGGTTGGAAGGAGGAAGCGTGGTGGTGGTGGTGGTTTAATATGATTTCTTTCCCACCTATTTAGCTTGCTGAACAAACATATGGAGGAATTGCTGAGCTCTAGTGAAACTTCCAAACTAAGATCATGGCCACTGGCCCCATCACCTCCTGGCAAATAGAAGGGGAAGATATGGAGGCAGTGACAGATTTTACTTTCTTGGGCTCCATGATCACTGCAGATGGTGACAGCAGCCACAAACTTAAAAGACGCCTGCTTCTTGGGAGGAAAGTGATGACAAACTTAGACAGCATCTTAAAAAGCAGAGACATCACCTTGCTGAGAAAGGTCTGCATAGTCAAAGCTATGGTTTTTCCAGTCCCGATGTATGTAAGTGAGAGCTGGACCATAAAGAAGGCTGACCACCAAAGAATTTATGCTTTTGAATTGTGGTGCTGGAGGAGACTCTTGAGAGTTCCCTGGACTGCAAGGAGAACAAACCTATCCGTTCTGAAGGAAATCAAGCCACAGTGCTCCCTGGAAGGACAGATCCTGAAGCTGAGGCTCCAATACTTTGGCCATCTCACGAGATGAGAAGACTCCCTGGAAAAGATGCTGATGTTGGGAAAGTGTGAGGGTAAGAGTGCCTTCTCCCACCTAGATCTACCCGAATCACTCGCCATAGCCAGAAGGGACGGTGACAGGTTTGGGCTAAACCTGGATAGAATTGCTAAATCAAGTTTTGTAATATGACAATAAGTATTGTCAGGATCAGTATTGTAAAAGTAAAGCAAAGCTTGAATATATACAGCTGAGGTGATTGTTACAGCTGTGAATGCAATCATATGATTGGACAATACTGGGATAAAACTAGCAGCACAAGCACACACAATCTGTGGGTTGTTGTTGGTGATGCTGTTGGTGTGTTCATGGAAAAAAGTCGTTGTGTTCCTGTGCCTGAGAATCCTGGAGTAAGCTGTGTCTACGTGCTTGGTATTGAAGAGGAACTCTGGCTATTTGGATGGAATGTACGGTATACGACTACTGAACTTATTTACTGGACATTGACTCTGATATATGCACTAAACTCTGTGGAAACTGTTGTGCATTACTGTGGAACTGAGAACAAAGACTTAGCTGTAAATATACCTGTATATTCTGTAAATAATACAATATCTGCTATCAACACTACTCTGGTGCTTGGCGTCTTCATCATCTCAGGGAAGATTCTTTTGGTTATCGCCCCCTGGTGTTATACCTGTACTACCGCTACTCTGTCAGACGGTTGAGGGGCCTAACGCCAAGAGAGGCCCGGAGAGAAAGAACAAGAAACCGCGCCTTCTCGGCAGTGGCTCCTTGGCTCCGGAATAACCTCCCATCAGTGATTCGCCCGGCTCCCTCGCTGGGTGTTTTAAAGTGCCAATTAAAAACTCGGCTCTTTCGGCAGGCCTTCCCTCCTGTCAATACTTGACTTTATTTTTACTATAATTTTCTGCTTTCCCATCTTGAACACTACTAAGCAATACTAACTACTATTGTTTAAAATTATTTTTAATTGTTTTTAACAATT